TCCAAAGTGTGGAGACCTAAAAGAAATGATAGACCCAACAGATACAAAATTAGGCACCCTACACTCAGCATTTGGACCCCAGAGAGGAACAAACCAATATTATCCCCCTGGGTTATGTATATCTGCAAGAGAAAAAATATGTGTATGTCTGTGTCTGTGTGTATGTATCTATATCTATGTATATGTCAACATTATATATATAAAGAGTGTATCTGAGATTAGGATTCATTCATTTCAGCATTACTTCCACAAATATTCCAAACTGAATTGCTTGCAAGAAACCTTCAAAGTGCTCCCCCAAAAAGTAAAATGAGTCTAGTAAACAGATGACCTTCCTAAGACATCTTGCTACAAAAAAGGGGTCAAGACAAAGTTCCTTCTTTGCTGAGGGAACTTAATTCCTTTTGCTTTTTCTAGCCAGAGTCCATTCACTTCAGCACCTTGTTCGAAGCCAACCACGGCATTACAAATTCCAATATCCATTAAGTCAAATGTCAAATACCAGCTTGGGAAGCTTTGTATCACCCTCTAGGCTCAGTGGTGCTGTACAGTGAGCTGTCTTAGAACTTAAAAAAAAAAATCAAGCATCATTTTTAGTATAAACAAGTGCTTCAAATGTATGACATCTATTTGCTGCCTTCAAAGGGAAAACTTTTAACTCAGATGCTTGGCACTAAGATCACACAGGATCAACTCCATGGACTGACTTAAGTGTTAAACTTTTTAAAAGTACGTTAAAGGCTTGCACCTGCTCCCCCATCCACATAGATGTACTGACATGTATTTGACTAAACTGACTACCTACATGCCCAAGCAAGCAAGCTGAGCAGATTTTACAAGATAAGTAACCAAGTGTTTTCATGTCTGAGGGTGGCTAGAACACAAAATTGCCAGTCATCTTGTGGGGGAAAGAATGCCTTTGAAAAAAATACATAGGGCATCATTTCAGATAAAATGTATCTAAATGCCTTCCTGTATATAGGTTTGGTTGTTTTGTTTTTCTTTTAAGTGCTGCTGTCTTAATGAGGGGCCTAAACTGGGTCTGACTTTCTGCTGTTGTGACTGAGAATTCTTAGAACCTACACCTGGGAACATGATGGATATGTAGAATCTCAGGGCCTATCCCAGATTCATGGAAACAAAACTGATGTAACATGACCCCAAACAGTCTGTAGATGCATCAAGGCTGCATTCTCCTGGAAGTGATACTGGTGATTCCCATGCACAACAAAATCTAAGAAGTTTTATTTAGAGCATCATTTGTTAGGTAAACGTTCACTTTGAAGTTTGCAGGGCAGTGAGATGGTCAGAAAATTCTGCCCTGGAGAATACCATAAGGGTATAATTTATCCCAGTGGGGTGGAGGCAAGAGGAAAAGCAATTTACTGAGTGAAGTAGACCTGCATTTATTCTCCATCTCACCTCACCCTACCTGCCCCCTGCAAAAAAAAAAAAAAAAGCAGAAAAGGAACAGAATAGTTCTACTTCTTTGTGACTGCCCATCTATGTCACACTTATTTCTGCATTTAAATTGTTCTTTACTGCAAGGTTGTGCTCTTTTTGCTTCATTATAGATTGGGGGGCTGTAGCATCTAACATTCAGTGAATTGATATCTTAACATTAATATGAGCTAAGAATAGAAATATACTATTTTAAAAAGTGCTTTGATTTGCACAAATGATTATTCTACCTCTGATAAAAAAACTAAGGAAAAAATGTGGAACATTTAGATTATCCATAATGATGTAGCCTGTTACACAGACAAGACTGATAGATAATCTCTCCATTCTTCACCTCTTGAGGTACAATATAAAGCAGCAGTTGGAGCAGAAATTATGAAAAACACGGAAGCATAGAGAAATCTGTAAACCACTCATCTTCTTCCTCCCCAATTTTGAAGGCAAAAAAATGAACAGAGCTATCTGGACCTGCCATACAAGTTAAAACCATGCCAGGGAAGCGGACACAGCCCAGACAAGCACAAAACCAGATGACACAACTTAATCAATTTTGAAAGGTGATCTCCCCAAATTCAGAAACTTAGATTTTTTGAAAGCCAATTCTAAAAGGATTCAAAGGTTCCTACAGAATAGAGACTGAAAACTGAAAACATTCAGTGTCATGGGGTTAGTTATGACACTTCTTTTTTCTCAGAATGAAGAATGTGAGCCAAAATGTCTGTAGGAATGTAGAATATATGTAAGACTATTCTGTTTCTCTACTCAACTGCCAAGAGGGTCAGAGTCCTCAACTATTACAAAATCTCTGGAACTAAACTGAAAATACCATCATCTACCTATATGTAATACTTATCACATATATCTTTATATGTATATTTATATATTACATATATGTCTCTATGTATTTACACATGTTTCTGTATATGTTTATATGTATTTATACATTTGTATGTATATTCATACACATGTATTTATGTATATTACACATATATATGTCTATATATATTTACACATATATATTATGCAAGAGAACACACTTGAGAATCATTTTCACTAAAATCAGAACCAATTAAGCAGAGGTATAAAAAGGGATGAAACTGCCAAATGTATGGAAATTCTTGGGCTGTCATCTGGAATATTTGGAAATGACAAAACATGGATTACTATTTTTTAAGATGTTAAGACTGTGCAGCCTGCCCCTCACGTCCACGGCAAGAGAGGAAGAAGAGTGTGAAGGACAGAGATGATCTTGCCTTCTGCTGGGTACAAGAGCAATAGGATAGGGATAAAAAGAAACGAAAAGATTTTAAAAGTGGAAGGAGTAAAAGATAACTTGTAGTAATTTTTCTAAAAAAATATGATCTACATAATCTCAAAACTTGTTGCTTCCCAGGTGGCTCAGTGGTAAAGAATTCACCTGCCAGTGAAGTAGACACAGATGATGTGGGTTCGATCCATGGGTTGAGAAGATCCCCTGAAGAAGGAAATGGTAACCCCTTCCAGTATCTTGCCTGGGAGATCCCATGAACAGAGGAGCCTGGTGGGCTGCAGTTCATGGGGTTGCAAAAGAGTAGGACATGACTTAGGGGCTAAACAACAACAAAAACACTACTTAAAAAAAAAAAAATCTGCCTACATAATCTCAAAACACAGGGTCAAACCTATCATACCCAAAACATAATCCAAAATGTAAGATGCTCATCACAGGTTAATTCCTGGGAAGAATCTGATGATGACAGTGTTCCTTTACTAACATACTCTTTTGTTTGGCCAATTCCAAGGCAGGGCTAGGAAAGGAAATTAGAACAAAACCTGACCAATCACAGTAGGACAAGAGGTGACACAAAGTCCTAGAAAATTGACCTTAAAATACTTCAAGTAAAATTACGGGGTGTTGTGGGACCCTTGGCCATATAAGCATACCCACCCAACCCTTCCTTGGGTCTAATTTCAACCCAGAACACAGAAGCCCTGTCCCTTGTAAGTGTTCATTCTGAGTGGCCTAATTTGACTTCATTCTGCTTGGGCTTCAGTCCAGTTGGCAGATGACCCTGTAGAAGCTGATCTTAGACACTGTCCCTTTCTAATTTTTTGGCACCATTGCCTCAGTTGCATGGAATATCATCTCTGAAACTTTATCTTGGGTTCCCCAGGTTTTGTCTATTTTGTAGCTTTGGTTTTCTCTTAAATAATCCTGCTCCAAAGAAGTGTATGTGCAATACTAAAGCACTGATCCATTCCTAAGAATTAGTCAATGACTAGCTTGCAAATTTCCAACAGCTCCTTGCCTTCTTCCTACCTCCCTCCAAAATGAGTAGCCTCAGAAGCAAAAGTGTAAGCAGATGTAAGGTAACTTTGTGAACACTGTACAAATGCACCATTTTTTCTTGCAAGTTGGTCTTTATAGAATGAAATGAAAGAACTTTGATATTTATTATCTGAAATAGGTTTAACATTTGGAGAAATGTGTTTAAACACATAACCTTAGAAAGAAAAACAAGCTGATGGAACAGAGAAGTGGGGTAGGCAGAAAACAATTTTGCTGTGTGGGGGGCAAAGTTAGAAAATTGAGTCCTTCTGAGCATAAAGAGCTCCCGGTGAGGTAAAAGTGAAATACAAATTGATTTCCAACTCTTCATGAGGGCCACTAGATATCAATTTTAAATATACATGATCACAATATCAATAATGAAGAAATCTTATATTTTATTTAATACTTTGGCCAGTCCAGCTCCTTTGAAGGGGTCACTAGTTTAGGAAAGAACAACAAACCATCATTCACTTTCCTGCAGGTTCATCGTTTTCCTAATTATTTCTATTGGTCTTGCTTTACTCTTTCTGCAAATTAAGGGTTAGGGGAAGGGTTTCTATATTAGATCAGTAATGTCTGGTTCTTATCCAAATATTCCACCTAATAAGGATGTAAATTCTCACGGACTGGACAACCACTCTGCAACATTCCTGAGAACTGAATAATATAATAATCTTGAAAGTCAGCAGAGTGGATTATCCACTTTTTTTTTTTTTCCTGGACTTGAACTTGTGACCTTAACAGTAGCACTGCAAAAAAAAAGCAAATGTGCTAAGCACTTTGCCAGAGTAACCTTCCATGTAGACTTTTCATCTTAAATACACACAACTGAAAACAACTACAATTTTTGGAAAATTATGTACAAACCCAATACTTCCTTTGATTACATATAAATACAAATTAGCTATTTTTCCTAAAAAGTGGTTATAATAGTAAATAAATACAAAATAAATCTGACCATTATACTTCATGTGCTGGGGGCTGAACCCATATAAAATGTACAACTAAATACATTTTAAAATCTTTAAGGAATAATTCTCTGATTAAAATATTTGTTTTCCCAACTTCTTTTCGTAGATATAAATATATTTTCAAAATAGCTGTTTTTTTTTTTCCTCCATTCCATTCCATAAATAAAGTCTTCATTGGGAAATATTAAAGTGTCAACTTGATTTTTTTTGCTGTTTTTCTAAAATATATATATATATATTTATTTTATTTTGCTGTGCTAACGACACCCACAACCCTCGACAACCATGTCCTGATAGTTCTTTAACACCACCTTCTCATTCTCATCAAGGTAGAGCATGGAGATAGCGCTGAGTTCTGTTGGGACACAGCATGCCTTGGGAATCTTAGAGTTAACTGAGTTGACCAGAGTTTGGACAATGGCATGATTCGTGGAGTTCAGGTGATCGGCCAGGGGAAAAGGGCACTCCCCGTGGCAGTAAAAGGCATGATACCCCGGTGGGGCAACGATCCAGTCATTCCACCCCACATCACTGAAGTCCACATATAAAGGGTGTCTCTTACAGCTGGACTTGAGGCGTTTCCGCTGTTTATGTTTTGCTTGCCGCTTTTCTCTTCTGTGGAGAGGGTGTCCTTTCCCATCGTGGCCAAAAGTGACAAGCAAGGGCCTTATCTGTGACCAGCTGTGCTCATCCTGGTGCAAAGACCTGCTAATCCGCACATGCCTCTTGGAGGCCCCATAGCTGTCCTCTGGGTGGGCTACCTCCACCACGAACCCGTGGTTGGTGAGCCCCTGGGCGGTCCACCTCATCACAGCGGGGGTGACATCGAAGCTCTCCCACCTACTGGCATTCTGGGTCACCAACCTGGTGTCCAAAAGTCTGGTCACAGGGAACTTGGAGTTAGCTGTGGCAGGTTTTATAATTTCATAAATATTAATTCGGTGATGGAAACTGCTATTGTTTTCCAAAGCTTCGGGCATATGTTTCCGAAAGACCTGAAGTTCTGCTGAGGTGATAAACTCCTCAGTGGGGATAGAAGTTAAATTAAAGAAGAATCGCCGGGTTGTTTTCCCACTCATTTCCGGCAGTTCTTCCAAAGATTCTAATTTGATATGGAAAAGTGGAAAAAAAGAAAAATTGTTCAGTAAGGCAAGTAAGACAGTCTGATTGTATATAAGGATTTATAAACATCACTTCAGGGTTTGATTCAACCCATGTAAAGTCTGCAACCAGAAAATTACAATTTCCCCTTTAGATAAAGAAACTATCTTCCCTTTTCCATACATTTATGTTAATATACACAACATGAAACAAAATTTCACAATTTATTGTCATTTTTTTTTTCAATCTAATATGTGAATACTGCTTCCAGGTGGCTATAATAATGGGGGGAATGGTGAAGCATTTCTTTGGAATTCACAGACTTTAGGGCAAAAAAAAAAAAGTCAGCACTGTAGTTAGTAGAGGCCTAATGAGTGAGGATTTGAGGAAATTATTGCATTTCTTAAAAAGAAAAAGGCTTTAATGTCAATCCCTTAAGCGGTATTCTAAAACATTACTCTGCAATTTAGATGATTTACAAATCTCGATATACAGATTTCAGTTTCCTAATTAAAGACTCTGAAACTCAACATCAACGATGACATTTTGCAAAGTACACCCTACTATTTTACTCAAAAGTCCAGAAACAAAGGCATTTACAAGGGATCTGCTTATTTGGAAACGTAAGGGTGGAACTAGGACACTATTGTAATTAAGGCTGGACAATTTCAAGAGAAGTTAACTTGCCAACTTTGTTCTCTCACCTCCTTATGACCTCAAAAATAAAAATCTCATTTCAGATGCTTTTGGGGAAAAAAATAATTCTATTCTATTTATAATTCCTTTATCTTAAAAACAAGCAAACAAAAAAATATATATACACACCCAATAACAGGCTACAGGATACAGACAAACCCCCTGCTAAATTTATGAAAATCTACAGAAATTCCATTATGATATTCATGATGTAAGAAATAATCTAAGTACAGAATAATCATTTTGTATCTATTATCATTATTTTAAAATAGTCATTTAAGTGGGCTATATGTAGAAAATTCTTCCTGATTTAAAATCTTAGAATTTCAATTTTAAGTACTGCTTTTTGAACAAACAATATAACATAGCACCTTGAATATTTAGTCTGCAATTCATAAAAAGTACCCATTATTACTAAATTAATAGTGAAAGCACTGGAATTTTGAGATATTTGGGTTTACTTTCATCTAGCTTTACCACATCCTGTCATTTCACTGTCAACAAATTTTACCTGCTTCATTCAGGATCCAACCTGAGTGCCAGCAAAATCAATTTAGCCACAGTTCCATGTCATCACCATAAGAGGAAATCATTTTTCATTAATTTTATGGTTGTTATTTTTCCTAAACCAAATAGCTATTCATTGTTCACAAAATCTAGATATCTTAGCAAAGGGTAATCAGATCATTCACTCAAAGGTTCTACCTTATAAACCTTCATCATCAAAGCAACAGTCATTACTGCAAGCTAAGGTCAACAGGGGTGGTTTACACTAAATTATGGAGGAATGCTTTAATGGGATGCTTGGAAACTTTAACCTTCATGCAAATCACCTACGACACCTTAACTCTTCAAATGTAGATTCTGATTCTACCGGTGAGTCTGGGGTGGGGCCTGAGATTCAGTATTTCCAGCAGCTCCCAGGTGAGGGACTGCTGGAAGCTGGGGAATTGCCCTTTGAACCTACAGGTTTTAAAGAATGCTTTTCATGTTCAAGTATAATTGCCAGAAACAAAGTGCCTTTTTTGTTAAATAATATAAAGATGAACAGAAGAACCACTAGTGTTGGCCAAGGAGTAAGAGCTGAAGACATGGATGAGTAGATCTAAAGCTCCTTTCCTTAGACACGGACTAACCCACACCAAAGGGTTACCTTTGGGAGAGCTCTAAACTCTGCTGCCTGGCTAATGGTACTTCAGACCAGGCACTATTTTAAAATAACCCTCCCACCAATCAACCTGAGCCCTCCTTCAATATCAAGGATTGTGTTTACCCCCTGCGATTCAGGAGCCCTCTGATGTTTCCACTTTCAGCAGAGAAGCTACCAGAGAAAACAGGAGTGATGTAAAAATCAGCAGCGTTCTCCAGACACAATGATCCAAAGCCAGACCTGGCCCCAAGCAACTGACTTCGCTGATCTCGAACACATATGAGTTTCTTGCTCTTCTTAAAGAGGGGAAGGAAAGTCACATTATCTGGGACCTTTGTGGAACAGCTGTATTGACAAACAAGCCCAGAAAAATATCACACATAGCCAGGAAGAAGATGAACAATCTCTCAGGTAAGCATGAGAAATGAGTAAATGAAGCAAGGAGGATGGGTATAAAAGAGGCATTAAATAGAACAACAATGAATGTATGCTCAGTCATATCCAACTCTTCGAATCCCCATGAACTGTAGTCCACCAAGCTCCTCTGACCATGGGATTCCCCAGATGAGAATACTGGAGTGGATTGCCATTTCCTCCTCCAGGGGGACCTTCCCAATCAAGGGATCCAACTGGTGTCTCCTGCATTGGCAGGCAGATTCTTTACCTTGAGCCACCTGGGAAGCCCAAATAGAACAATAACCCTCCAAAAGACCACTGTATTACTGAATTATATAAACTCCCACAATTCAACTGGATATAGCCTATTAAAAGGCAGTATCAGGTGCTGCAAAATCTCATTGGAGGTATTAATAAGTGGCAGAAGAAGGCTCACTTAGCAAAGGAAAAAACTTACACTATTAAATATTAACTAGTAATGTGAAGACCTTTCTCCAATTTTGTAGCTTCACCTCAGTCAACCTAATCCCTACTGGACCACTATCCCTTCTTAATTCAAAGGCCTCTACAAGACCCCTGATTGCAGACTCTGGTCACAGAGATACATCAGAAGGTCACAGGAATCCCCAAACCCAGGAAAACTGACCAAAGTTAGGGTACCCTCTCCTTTGATCTGCAAGGGAACATGAATTTTTTCTAGAAGGTAGAAAAAAATCTGAACTTTCTGAAATGAAGTAAAGAAGTTACAAATCACATCAAGCCTGGGGATTCTGAAAATAACGGGGCACTTACCTAAGTAGGTAATGTACATTTCTCTGAGGTATATGTAAATAATCTTTATTGAATAAGCTGCACTTGCCAAGGGATCTGAGGATTCCAGACTATTTTAGATGTGGGTCCCTGAACTTCTAAGTTCTTAATCAAATAAATGGAGCTATGGCTGCAAAAATGTGGGAAAGTAAGGAAAAATAAGGTAAAAATGACATTCAACCTCTCTCCCAAAAGCAAAGTTCTAACTTAATCATCTACACTGTCAATTATTCATCTATATCAAAATAATCCAAAGATAAGGCTGAATTCCCACAGCTAGCCTATGTTCAATTTGACTTCCTCTTCCCTAGACCAGGGAATTACCAGGGTAATATGAATTACTTTATGACAGATCAATTAGAGAGAAACTGTTACTAGCTCCATTTTGGAAATGAAATAAGTGGAACTCAGAGAGGTTATGTGACTTTCCTAAGGTCACAGTGCATAGCTATGCAGTTGAGCCTACTGCAGTCCCCAGGTTTCTGGCCACTAGATGGCACCATCTAACATGGGGGAGGAGTCAAAAACTCAAGCAAAAGTCAAAACCAACAGAGGCAGATTTATATTTAATACAAATATATCTGCAGGGTGAGTTCTGTCCCAGTTAAAGGAATAGAAAATGATGGAGGAAGCAGATAGGACTAAATAAGCAGAAAAGTAAAGTGGCAGGCACTGGGACATGCAGATCTTGTTTGGAACCACTGATATTCTGTGGCTGTCTTTTTCTCCTACAGTATGGTAAGTTTTAGCAAAAAGTGAGTTGTCATTACGTTTTGAGAATTTTGCAACAATCTTTGAATAAAAAATGTTCGTTAAGAAAACAACAATGAAAACCTGCAAATGTTCTAGCTAGTCAGGAAGGTTGGAAAACATTATCCTGAAATAAAATGAAAGTAGTGGAGAATAAAAAATAATCATGTCCAAAATGTAAAATAATGATTAGAGAATACACACACACACACACACACACACACATATATATAGAGAGAGAGAGGGAGGGAGGGAGAAAATTAATGCATCAAGGAGAAAAAAAAGATTAAATACAAAAGGTTCAAATGAATCAGTTAAAAATTAAAGACAACAAAGGAGATGGCAGCTAAAAGAGAGAACATGGTCACATTCACTAACTCTGATTTGGCCTCTGCACACCCTTAACTCCAACACCTGTGGAATGATCCAGTGTCCTCTTATTATAAGTTGCCTACCTGGTGAAAGATACAAAAGGCCAAGTCTTTAAAAATAAGACAAAATAGCTCAATGAGGAGGGATCAACAGGGAACAGAGAGGAGCCACTAAAAAAGAAGCAGCATTTAAAACATTAGTACAAGAACTCTCTGGGCACCAAAGGCTCCATCTATGAGCGTTTCCCAACAGAATGCCTGTTCCACATAAGGGGGGGGGGGTGCTTTCCTGTTCATGCTGAAATACCTGGGGACACCTGGGAAGCATCCACAGGTGAACACTGGTTTGGTGAGTATATGTGTCCAAATCCTTTGGTTGTACTGGGAATCTGTGTTCAAATTGGGAATCAGTGTTTAATTGGGAATCCCAGTGTTGTACTGGGAATCACTGTTCCTTCACAGGGCAGTAGTTGTTTCCTGAATTTTCCTTTTAATTGGGTATTTTCATGAAAATTACATTTGTAGAAAAAAAGTTAATGTTTAATTCAAAGCTTTAGCCATAGGGGCAAATAATTCAATTATTTCAGGCAAAAAGAGAATTGTGTCCTTCAGAGTCTGGAGAGCAAGCATGTGGTCCTTCCATATTCCAATCTGACAGGAAAGAATAAAGATTTTTTGCAGGGCCAAAGAAGTCAACCAGTTTCCATGTGCTTTTAACTATAAGCAAAGCACATTTTCCAGTTAAAAGAAGTGATTTTTTTATCCTCAGTGGCAGTTCTGAAAGGCCTATGAGGCTGAAGTACTTTTTAACAACTTTGAAAGAAGAAAATGTTTGCAGTACTTGGGTTCTCCCAAATAAAAGGCACTGTAGAAAGTATTAAAGAAATTTTAATAGGAGAAATGACAACTGAGCATTTCTGTGACTGAGCACCTACGATGTGGATCCATTATCTTCTCACACTGGCTGAAAGAACGCCACCATGATATTTCTTGTCTTGTATTTCACCAAATCACCTAGATCCTGCCCACAAATAAAACTAACAGGTAATTCTTGTAATCAGATCCTTTGATCCTTTAATAAATAAACACCTATGAAGACTCTATGAACCAAATTCTGCTCTTAAACCCTAAGCCTTAATCACATGACTTATTAAAAGATTTTTTTAGTGTCATGCATGGATGTTTTGTAAACAAAAATATTTACAAAAACCAAATTCTGGGCTATATAAAAATGAACTGGTCTTCAAAAGAAGGGCAACTTGTAGCATACTGATTATATGCTAGTCATAACAAGAAAAGTAATGGGTTTGCTGAAATTTGGGGCAAACATTACATAGCTTTTTCCTATCATCTAATTGCATTAAAATCTGAAGTTATTACAAATTGATTTTAAGCAAGTTGGTAACTTCTGTACTATTTGGCACATAACACTTAACATGTTTAAAGACATAAATTCTGACTTATAAGCTCAAGTATGCTATTTAAGTTAAAATAATGCACTATATTAAGTTTGCCTGTTTAGATTTGGTCAAGGCACTTCAAGAGGAAGGAGAAATATGGAGACTTCACTGATGGGATCGTCATGCAATTGAGTATTTTTAGGTGTCAAATGTTTTAAATGATCTATCTTCCTTTTAAGTTCCAAGAGACACGCAGTACCTTCTTGGCCTTAAAAATAAAGAATGATTTCCTTGCTATATCTCCAGGAAAGGAAGCCAAAATAGCAATTTGTATTACTTTTCTATCCAGGAAAACAAATCTAATCAGCATCAGTTGGGAGTGGTGAGCTGGATCTATAATCACTCCAAGGTGGTGATGATAGAATGTACATGAACAAAAACATTTCTACATGACAACAGACAACTTGTGCTTTCAGTAGATGAAACCTGAAGGAGTAATATGAGATCTTTCTTCCTTCCAAACCTAATTTCTGCTAGCAGAGAGCACCTCACTTAGAAACGTGCTGAAAAATGAACTGATTATCAATTCAATGTCCCCTTCATTACGTATAGCTGCCTTGATGAAGTAATGTAGCCTGCCTTTACAACCCCTTCCCACTATCAATTGCTGTTCTCACAGTGTAAGTCTTCCACACTGGGAGAAAACGCTTGCCTGTGACACTACTGATTTGCTTATATCAGAGCACAGATTTCCACTTGAAACCGACCACCTCGGCAGGGCAAGGTAAGAAAAAGGGAACTATATCCTAGTTCTTCAATATTCTACAAGTGGCTGCTCTGTGATATACAACTTGGGATCCTCCTCTAGAACTTGAAGGAACCTGGGCTCTGTTTAGAATGTGTTAAGCCAAAGGAGCATTTAAAAGTGTAAAAAAAGAATTGCAGTGGAACGTATTTTTGAGTAATTGCCCTAAGAACTTGGGTACAACAGATCTCAAAAGTTGCTCTAAGACATTTCAAATCCACTAAATGCCTTTCTGATGAAACAAGCAGAAATACCCTACCTTAGAAAAACCACATCCATATCATAAAAGAAAAAAAAATTCACATTTCAATGCACTAAAAGGAAAACAAGCAGCTAGCTGCTGCAAGAGCTTTCATCTGAAGGCTAGCCTTGTCTCTGTTAGGAAGTTCATCTCAGATTTAAGCAGAAGACAAGAAAGTCATTGTGGAAACAGTAAGATTGATTGGGGAATTGATCTCCCACGAGGATTAGATAGGGATTTCAAATCTTCCAAACCAGGCCCAGATCTACTGTAAATTAGAAAGACTTTGGGGCCCTGGGCTTTGATTTTTCAATACTATCTCTGAAAATTCTGCCCGTGGCGCTGTCATGCCTGAAACCCTGGCTTAAGCAAGAGAAGCAGATTTATAGAGCAAAGGCTTCCAAACAGACATGGAGAGATCCCAATCAGCCCCCCTCCTTCTCATTCTTCTCCTAAGGAATTCTTACACGTTTCGCAGTCTAGGGGCATGCCTTTTGCCCTCATCTTCCCCATCATTTAATTTCTCTCCAGTTCCTGGAGGAGGAGTCGCTCTTCTGGCTCCAAGCCAGGAAAAGAGTGCCGATTTACCGAAAGGGAATCCCTGGGTCTCCCGCCACACAGGCAGTGCGTGAAAGCCAGGTTCGGAAAGGTTCTCACAAACAGGGAAATGTCTGCAGCGCCCGGGCCAAGCTGCCCTGCCAGGGATGCCTGCAGTCTGCCCACGGCGGGGCGCTTTGCCGGACGACTCCCCGCCCCCGTCTCCGCCCCCAAGCTCCGGCCCCGCGCCTCACCTTCGTGGTGGAAGCTGCGCACGGTGTTGGCGAGGCTGGCAGCCCTCTCCAGCCGGTGGTCCGGGGCGGGCGCACCGGGCTGGCCCGAGTGCTGGCGGTACAGGTCCAGCATGTAAGGGGGCACCACGGCGTCCCTGCTGGGGGTGGGTCTCTGCTTCAGGCCGAACATGCTGAGCAGCCGCAGCTCGAACTCGCTCAGGACGTCTTCCGAAGGCTGGGATGAGGAGCGGCCAGCAGACGCCGCGAACTTCCTCCGGCCCAGCTCCGGAATGAGGCCGGCCGCGCCGCCCAGGAGGACCTGGGGAAGCAGCAACGCTAGAAGACAGCGGGTCCCGGCCACCATGGTCGACCTGCGGACAGGGCCGACATTAGTCACGGAGTTTCCCGCCCAGTCCTCACCCCTTCCGCCCCCGCGGGCTCCCGCTTCGTCCATTTGCCTCCTCCTCCAGGGTGCCCACCTGGCTGACAGCACTCGCGGGGATACTTCAGAGGAGCTGAAGCTCAAACGTTTGGGAGAATGGAAGAATACCTAGTTCCTGCGCCAGATGGCTTTTTCCCGCTCCCATCCCATTCTCAACCCGTCAAGATTTGCCCCCCACCCCACCCCGCGTCAGTGACTGTCACTTTTTTTTTTCTGTGACACTCACGCTGACAGCTGTATAGGGAACCTGGGAAAACCACCGCTTAGTCTCACATTTCTCCGTCCCCTAACCTAACCCAAACACACAGCGCTCACTTGCATATAAACACGCACAAATGGTGCATGTGACTGCCTTACAGGCACTGTAGAACTTCCTGATACACACAGGGTCTGTAACTTCCAGAGCGAATAAACTCAAGGACACAACTTCCGAAATCACTCGCAACCTATGACCCGAACCTAACCTCAGAAGTGTCAGGGCAGGCCACTCCATTCCCGCCCCCCCCCACCCCCCCTATGCAGTAAATACACACAGGTATCTTCCTATTAGGTAGATGGCTAATATCTATTAATTCACGTGTCAGTTCAAGGTGGCACAAAATAACTGCCCCCCTTGCATTCATGGTAAAAAAAAAACAGGGAGAATCCCAACGTATAATATTTTCCTAAATGGGACGCGGCTCTGAGTAGAGAGAGCAGTTCTCCGGGAGAAACTTGAAATTAAAACGGATCGCTACAATAGGACGTACAGCTTGGCAGCTAACGGGTGAAATCCACGGGCCACCCTCTAGAAGGGACTTCTTTAACTTAAAAAAAAAAAAAAATCATCCCAGTGTTAACAGCCCTAATAAAATCCCGAAGAAGGAGAGGGAGGAGGGGCGGAAGAGTGCGACCAGGAGGGCAAAGCCTAAGGTGGCCAGGGGCGGTAGGATGTGGGTATCCCCTCGGCGGCTCGGCTGCACGTGGACCTGTTCTGTTTACGTCCCGCCAGGCCTGGCCCCGGGAGGGGCTCAGCTGCTGTGGCTGCCGGAGACCCGCGCCCGCCCCCAGCCCCGGCCCACGTTGTCACCTTTAGGAGACCGCAGACTGTCTAAGAAGCACGCGGGGACACGTCCATTGAAAGAGCCTCCACATGGAAAAAGCTCTGGCTGAAGGACCTGGCGCGGGGACCGGGTTCCTTTCCTTCTCTTCCTTCTCCCGGGTGCCGGCCAGGCAGTCCCTCCCAGCACGCAGGGAGCGGCGTCTCGGGTCGGGCCCGGCGGAGAAGTGGCAGGGGCGGCGGGGTTCGCAGGCGGTGAGGCTGGTCCGCTGGGGCAGAGGCACCCGGGCGAAGTGGAGAGCGCAAGTTATTCTCCCTGCAAGTTCAAGAAGCCTCCAGCCAAGTGCTGACACACTACAACAGCGGGCAGGGGGAGGAGTGCAGAGCAGGGAAGGGAAGGGAGAAAGGAAAAGCTGGTGCTGTCGTCGTCCTTAGGAACCAGCGCCCGCGGGACGCGTGGCCCCGAGCGGGGCCGGCTCCGGGACTCTGGGGGCGAGGGTTGGGCGCTCGGCGCTAGCTCCGCCACGGCCCATGGCTTGGGCCAGCCATCCTGGGCGACGCCGGGTCCGGGGAAGGGCGCAGCGGCGATCTTCGTGCCGGGCGAGTTGCCCCCCCGCATCACTCTGCCTTCCTCCAGCGCACCCCCATTAGCGCTAGCCAGTTGAAACCACCGCGGCTCCGGCGCTCCGGCGTCCTCGGGCACATTCTCCGGCGAGTCGAGCCGAGTATCGGGCCGCCGAGGCGGGTGGCCGCACTCTTCCCTCGGTCTCCTCGCCCCCAGGCCAAGCCACTGCACCCTTTGTGGCCAGCCTGGGGTCCTATCACACCTCGGTCGGCGCGTTCCAGGTCCCCGAGCTCCGGTGGGAGGTGATCGGCATCGCGGCGCTCGAGCTCAGCGCGCCGGTCTTCGGCTCCGGCGCGGCCCGGTCAGCCGAGGCCACGGCGCAGCGGCGCGCACTGCCGGGCGCTCTAACCAGAGAGGGGTCTGCGGGCGCGGGTGCCTCTGAGTCCCCAGTAATCCGCGAGGCGCTCGCCCCGAGGTAGTTCGGTGGGCGGCGGAGCCTACGGCGGCTGATGTCTGGCGGCAGCTGCCAATCCCGGGTAGGGTGTGGGAAGCAGAGCGGCGGGCGCAGCGCGAGCCGGGCGCAGCGCGGCGCGGCGGGGCGAGGACTCTGGCGGCGACGGCGGCGGTGGCGGCGCCGTGGCGCGGCGCTCGCGGCTTTTAAAGGGGACGCCGCCTGCCGTCTCCCTCCCGGCCCAGGCCGAACACCCTCCCCCTCGGTGGCGCGGCTCGCCGGGGATCCCCGAGCGGGCGGGAGTAGTGTGCAGGGGTGTGGACGGCTAGCCGGGGCAGCCGGGGCAGCCGCGGTGGGGTGGGGCTGAGGGCGGGGACCCGCGGCCGCCGGGGGGGCGCTCGTGCCTCCAGCCCCTGCCCTCAAAGGGGAGATCCGTCGGAGCGCCTGGCCCTGGCTGGGACTCCCAGGACGAAATTCCGACGAATGCCAGGTCGGGCCTTATTTCCCCTCCTGGCCCGTTATTTAGCTTTCAGTTTGAAGATACTCCGTAATAGACGATTAAAGAAGAACTCAACCAAGTTACAAAGCATCTTGGCATAGGCGTGGGGTACACTCTTCTGTGTTTACCCGAGGTGAGAGGAAAATTAAAAGAAAACTAGAGATTGGATTTGCGTGTAACTTAAACTTTAACACTGAGAGACATATGCATTTACATATGTAAATTTATTTATATAAATGTGCCTTTTTATTCCAATAAATGTATGTTTAACACACAAATATACACGTGTGTTTCTATAAATATATCCATATATGTAAATTTGTGCTACCAAAGCACAGGTTTCTATAAACATGTCTGTGTGAAGTGGATTTCCTTCTACTATACTTGACATGCGCAACGTGGAGTGTGTGTGTGTGTGTGTGTGTGTGTGTGTGTGTGTGTGTGTGTGTGAAGAGAGGATGAGAGGGATTTTCTTTCTTTTTACCGTAGAAATCACTTCATGCCTTCTATTTATCTCGCCTAGCTCAGGGGCAGGCCACTAGCAACGGCAGAGGAAGGTAAAATAATGGCACAGTGTGAGCCGAGGGGACAGAACAGCTCTGGTCTGAGACCTTAGAACCTTCTGCCCCACCCACTTCCACCAGGTCCCAGCGGCAGGTCTGTGACATGTGGTCAAGTGACTTGTTTTCCTCAGCTGAGACAGTCTGTTGTACCGCAAGTCCCAAGGCCAAGGCTTGCTGTCCTTTCCAGGATCCTAGGATCGCCCATGTACAGCTCAACCAGTTTACCCGAATGATCCCAGAAGCCAAAAGCAGAAAAGTTTTGGAAAAGGCCAGACGGACAAAATCAAGCTCGCCTGCGCAGAACCTTCAGCCTGTAGAGCAGAAAAAGTCTGAAGCAAGAGCTCATAGCAATCTATTATCCATGTGTATTATTTTTTCAGTTGGGAAGCTAAAATAATTGTAGGTTCCGCTCACGTAAATCGGATTAGCAACCCACAGAGGGGGAATTAGGCCCTAGCTGTTTCTGAAAGTATAAAGGTCAAATAAGGTATTTCTGAGGAAGCCTGCCTACCAGGAAAATAAATGAGTTGGGGAGGGGGGTACAAAATATTCAGGAAAGTGGTACTTCCCCCCCCGCCCCCCCCGAAAATGAAACTCTATGGAAGCTGATTGCCACTCTGAATCACTGGACACCAAACAAGTTGGCAGGAGAACATATTCTATTCACAGGCACTTTAAGTCACAAATGTTTATTGTGCTTTTGAAACTATTTCCTTCCCTATCAAGTTTGAGGAGTTAACAATTGTTTCTGTCATCAGTGAGATTTAAAAAACAAAACAAAACTTATATGAAACCTAAATCAGTGTGTAGCTTCTAAAGAGGAGGAGAAAGTTGACAGCTATTGAACATGCCTCAAGTGAGGATGAAAAATAAATCTCTGGTGTTGACATCAAGGATGTCTCACAGCTGTAGCCCTTCATAAATTGGGAGCTTTGTCAGTTTGTGAAATAATCTTTGATCATCAAGAATCACAGGGACAATTGGCACTTCTGGATACTTTATCCCATTCAGTGTTGCCCATCACAGAATCTCTTATATATGTGATACCTGATTACATGGGGCTGCCTTTCCCAAGCACAACTTCCTAAACGTTGGCCCTGTTTCCCCTAAGAGCCAGGCTTTCTGATTGTTTTTTAGAGATGGCTGCCCTCTTGTGGTGAAAATGAGTTTGAACACTTGGGAGAAAAGCCAATAAATAAGTAAATACATAAGTAAACATTAATAAATAAGTTCCAGAGACTGATTTGGGGTGCAAAGTTCAGGATAATCATACCTACCCATTTTCCAGACAACAGAAATAGTTTAAAACAATAAGTCTAAATGGGCAACTTCTTTTTTTTTAATCTCTTTGTGAACAGCCACCTTCCCACCTGCAACTCAAAATGTAGGGTTACTAGTTTGAGTTGACACTATCTGTTTCCTTTGAAAATATTGCTTGCTGCTAGCTATGGCCAATGCTACCCTTTTCAAAGGTTCATTACAAATTTTTCAGCCCATAAAGTGAGATTTTTTTCTTTCTTAGTGTATTAAGTTTAGTTTATCTGCCAGATGTGGGGTGTGGTGAGAGGAAGTTACATGAAAAAGTAAAACCTATCAAGTTAGGGTTCTATATGAAGGAGGTTGCTGCTACTCACTGCCAGTCACTTCTTGCCAGTTTTTCAAGAGATACCAGAAATCTCATTTAATTGTATGTGGACACGACCTGGGATGAAATTAAGTGCTTAAAGAGTCATACTTTGGCAACTTTTCCTGTAGCAGTTCAGCCCAGATGATGTTTAGTTTTATTGCATCCTGCAGCTATTAGCATTCACCACTGTTCTTGCAGGCCTACCATTATGCAAATTAACATTAAAATCATGAGCCTCACATATTGTAAAGGTCACAGCAGGCATGAAATAATACATCTACCTTGTAATCGTCATTCCACCAAAACCTGCAGCAACTCCTCAGAGAAACCTCTAGGCTTGGCAGCACACCTATCAGCTTGTTACTAGAGTGGCACCTAATAGCAGTTTTACTTACATCAGCTGGATGATGTTCTTTCACAGGAACCAGGAGCCACAGCAAAGCGCAGAATCTGGTCAAACTTTTACCTATTTGATGTATAATTAGATATGGTGGGGGCTTCCCTGATAGCTCAGTTGGTAAAGAATACCCCTGCAATGCAGAAGACCCTGTTTGGATTCCTGGGCTGGGAAGATTCCTGGAGAAGGGCTAGGCTACCCACTCCAGTATTCTTGGACTTCCCTTGTGGCTCAGCTGGTAAAGAATCCACCTGCAATGCAGGAGACCTGGGTTTGATCCCTGGATTGGGAAGATCCCCTGGAGAAGGGAAAGGCTGCCCACTCCAGTATTCTGGCCTGGAGAATCCCATGGACTGTGTAGTTGGTGGGATCACAAAGAATCGGACATGACTGAGCCACTTTCACATGTTTAGATATGGTGGAAGGATGGATGGGGTAAAGTGATATGGGGTAAAGCCATACTAGAAGGCCTAGTATCAGGAGTCTGGGTTATTCTTTTCAGGCAAATACTGACTTCTTCTTAAAAATTAAGAGAATGAATTTTATGTATCTAACCAGATTGTATCATATTGTAGGTTACGCACAGTAGATGCTGTATGCACATGTTGCTTACGGCCTGAGACATAGTTGGGTGACTTACATTCTACTTCTAGTTTGGCTATGGATGGTTGATTTTAAAATGGTCATCTTTTGGCCTCATTTGTTAATCAGGGTAAATAAATATGTTCTACCTGCCTCAGATAGCATCAGTTCAGTTCAGTTCAGTCGCTCAGTCATGTCCAACTCTTTGCGACCCCATGAATCGCAGCATGCCAGGCCTCCCTGTCTATCACAAACTCCCAGAGTTTACTCAAACTCATGCCTATCGAGTCGGTGATGGCACATAGCATGATAAAGGTCAAATCCTTAGCCTGTGTGAACTTGAAGTAAAAAATGCCATACAAACACAAGGTTCTGATTGCTACTTACTCTATGTATCTTTAAATGTATTTCTTGGCCTTCTGCCTGAAATATTATGGCCTGATTTTGAAAGATAAGACTGTTATGCCTTTCTTCTTCTTTTATTCTAACAGTTTTTATCAGGTTGCCTAACAGTGGTTATTTATTCAGAAAGGTTACCACTTAGATTGATTAAGACAATAACAAATTGGGACAGTCTGAGCTCCTTCATGAATAACATGTAGAGATTAATAGCTGATCTCCTCACAGAGCTGTATTGATAAATAAATGAGAGGATATGTGTCAAGACAACAAAAATGTTGCCAAATTTGAATTACTACAAGGGACTAGATCTGATAGAGAGAATACCTGATGAACTATGGACAGAGGTTCGTGACATTGTACAGGAGAGAGGAATCAAGACCATTCCCAAGGAAAAGAAATGTAAAAAGGGAAAATGGTTGCCTGAGGAGGCCTTACAAATAGCTGTGAAAAGAAGGGAAGCGAAAAGCAAAGGAGAAAAGGAAAGATATACCCATATGAATGCAGAGTTCCAAAGAATAGCAAGGAGAGATAAG